CCGACCAAACGGCTGATCGAGACACCACACAAGAAGACACTAGAGTACTGGGCAGGACTACGCAAAGCAACTGCATCCATTCTGATGCAGCTGCGCACTGGGCGCATCGGCCTAGGTGCATATCTGGCTCGTATCAACCGGCGGGAGTCGGCACGGTGCGATTGCAACCTGGGCAACCAAACGATAGCACATGTCCTGCTAGAGTGCCCGTTGCATCAAGAGGAGCGTGATGGGATGCGAGGCGCCCTATCAGAGCATGGTATCACGCTCCATCAACAAGAGCTCTTGACGCGCGTGGAAGCGCGTACAATAGTAGCTGAGTTTATGACCCGAACCGGTCTCTTGGGCCAGTTCCAAACGGTGGATCCAATGGCTCTCGGGGTGGAAGAAGTAGAGAAACAATGACCCCTTAAGACAGTGTGACGGAAGGAGAATAATAATGCCCGCTAGGAGTGCAGTGCCAGGTCCACTGTACTCCCTTGATACAAATGAGCGCGCAAGCGGCGACCGGCAGCTGAGGAGGGTAAAGGCGACAAGGGGAGTTGGGGTCAGGAGAGGAGCTAGGAGAGGCGGAGCAGGGTCCCAGTGAAGGCGGTGAGGGCCAGGAACGCTCATTTTGGTGTGGGCAAGGGGTTAAACGCCTGCACTCTTTCCTTTGTCTTATATAAATTCTACATTCGATGTGGCTAGAGAGAAGCTCGGACATGAGCCTCTCTAGGACACCCAGTGGGCTGGCAGCCACTTTTTAGCTGTCGGCGGGCCCGATAGCACTCCCGCATAGCAGCATATATTTAGAGCGAGCTACATCGGGCAAATGAATTCATCATCATCATCATCATCATCATCAACCTATTGAGTTAGTATTGAGGACGGTAAAAAAAATCAAAATCAAATAAAATCCATAAGCGAAAACGAGAACAAAAAGAAAAAAAAAAAGAATAAAAGGTTAAAGGAAAACTAAAGATTAAAGGGAGATGAAATAAGGGATGGTTGGTAAACAAAAAGTGGAGAAAGGAAAGAACAAGGAAAACATTATGGGCGGTAGAATATGGAGAAATAAAAAAATAAATATAAAAAAGAAAAGCAATAAAACCCGGAGTTTCTCATCCACTTAGTACGACCCACTTATGATAGACTCTTATCTCAAAATAGATACCTCGTCTAGTGGATAGATTGAGTAAAGGGGGGCACTGCAATAGGCTTCATATTGACAGAGAATATACACCGAGATATATTCATTCAGGCCTATACAAACGGACCTGGGAATAGGCGGACCTCGTTTTCCGGATATTAGACTTGTAGGTAAAACTCTCACGAAGCTTAAAAGGTAAACCAAACACAGAATAGGAAACCACTCGTAACTTCCCAGAAGGAGCGTGCTGGGTAGCGGAAGGCTCCACCCGTGTAAACCAAGTGGCCTGTTGGCGACGCTGGAAGATGGGAAGAGGTTGACCCGATGCGTGATGTAGCCTTTCCAGGAGGGATACTAAACGCCCCCGTTTTGACGGTTTGCTTGGAACTCGAATATACGGTATCTCTAGTTCCTGTTGCTGAAGAGATAGATGAAGAGCTCCACCCTCTGCTATATGTGGCTGAGTGGGATTGGATCGTCGACGTAGCGTTGGTCGATCCCTCACAATAGAAAAGGAATTGTTGGAACTCCGGAAGAGCTGAACTCCTAGTGCGCACTCCCGAGCCGGAGTCCACGCAGGATTTGCAAGCGCGATGGGACACTTGGAATGGAGAACCTGGAGAGCACAGCGTCTGGGTCTTGGTAATTGATTCGGCCGCCTCCATCGCATCGTTACACGGGCCATAGCACTTTCCTGGAATGTGTACGTCTCGTTGGGTATTTATTCGCGGCTCGGGAAACTCGAAAATATCGTACCCAAGCCCGAACTGGAGAGGGCTTAAGTTGGTAAATCCCGGAGCCACAGTGTATCGTATTTGGCCGGACGACGTCGTCGAGCCCTGAAATGAAGTACTAGGCAGCGGGGGACTGGGAATACACTCCTCGGGCGCACAGTAATAGGTGTCGGCCGGTGGCCCAGCTTCAAAGTTGCATTCCCCATTAGCCGTTCTCTTGGATGGGCTACAAAGAAAGTTTGGCGGGCAGCCCCAGGTGTAGTCGCGAGGTGGTCGTGATGTCGGTGTGTACGTTGGATTGATGACTCTGGTCGGGCAGATGGAAAGCGATGGGTCTATTCACGTTAGCCAACGTAGTCTCGTTCTCTTCAGTCTCCACACTTACTGGGGGAAACCGTTGTCGAAGACAACGCGGCACTTCTATCATCAGTTTGAGCCTGCCCAGCGCTGGGACTTCCGGAAGGAGGCAAAGGATTGGCCCGGGTGACAAACGGCTCCGTCGACGACTGGACTCTCAAACTTAGTTCCTGTTCAGTCGCATGATCGATCGAAATTTGATCGGTAGATACCCCGGAGCCGCCTGTATTGGACTGAGAGGCGACTAGGCTAGAGTCGGGTGCTTCCTCTGTGGGCTGGCCTGAGGGGTTACCTGGACTCGTAGGTAGCGGAAGAGACGATAAAGATGCCGCGTCGCCTGTTGTACAGTCAACTCTCGCTTATACCACGGTGGGATATTGCACATTCTTGATAATAACACATCCCTTGCTTGGATGGCCCCTTCATTCCAGTTTTTTCCATATAAATTGACAGAATATAACACATTTTGTTTTACCACACTTTCTTCCTCTCAAATCTGCTTAGTCAGCGCAATCAACCAATCAGAATGCCTCAATCTACAAGCTCTCCTACCCTCCCGACCCCACCCAAGCGCGTCAGAATGGGACCAAAGCGTACCAAATTGGGTATATCAGACGCGCAGAAACAGGCACTACGGGCATTTTGGTCTAATACTAGCCCAAAGCCCACGCAGACTGCATGTGCTAAGTGGTTTGAGGACCAATTCAAACAAGTGATTGACCGGTCAACCATATCAAGGATCCTTTCATCCAAATACAATTATCTTGATACGGGCCCTGCAGGGGCAAACAAACGATCTTCATCCTCTCATTGGCCATTATTGGACCAAAAGCTATATGACTGGGCAGATAACCATATTGGCAATGGAATACCAATAAATGGCCCTTTGATCCAAACTAAAGCAGCTGAGCTTTGGAGACAAATACCGGAATACAAAGATCGGACCAAACCTCAATTCTCTGAGGGTTGGTTAACTCGCTTCAAACAACGCCACTCTCTTCAATATCATACTTTCCACGGAGAAGCTGCCTCAGTCCCATCCTCGGTACATGATCAGATCAAAAGCACCAAATCGATTTGCAATCAATTCAAACCGTCCGAAATCTACAATATGGATGAAACTGGCCTATTTTGGCGACGTATGCCAAATGGTGGTCTTTCAAAGGGAAAAATTGCTGGCAAAAAGCTTGATAAAACACGAATCACTATTGTTGTTGCATCAAATGCGGATGGTTCCGATCGAGTCCCTTTATGGTTGATTGGCACAGCAAAAACCCCTCGCGCACTCCGGGGGGTTAATTTCCGAGCTCTGGGATGTGTTTGGCGTCACAACAAGGCAGCATGGATGCGTCATGACATTATGGAGGACTGGTTGCGATCTTTCTATGGGCGTATTCCCTTAGATAAGAAAGCTTTGCTCCTTTTAGACAATGCTTCACCACATGTTATTGGACTCCAGCGAGCGCCACCACCACCCCGGATTACGGTTGTTTTTTTGCCAGCAAACGCAACTTCAATTTATCAACCCTTGGACCAAGGTATTATCCAAAACTTGAAGCACCATTATCGGAAGAAATGGATGCGCTATATGATTGCTTTTCTTGATCGTGGGATAGACCCAAAACAAAGAATGAGCATTTATTATACTGTTACCTGGGTAACGCAAGTTTGGAGAACAAGTGTATCAGACCAAACGATTATCAATTGCTTTAAACAAAGTACTTTGATTAGTCCAAAGTCTATACCTATACCTGAGTCCGCGCCCGAGTCCGCACCTGAGTCTGCACTATTTTCCGAGCCCGGATTGAGTGATGAGATTGAAAGTCTATATAATCAAGCAATTGATAAGCTTGGTGATAAAGATATTGTGCCATTTGACGAGTTTTTGAACCCTTCGGACGAAGACATGTTAGAAGATGGGACTGAAGGGCGAGATGAGACCAATGAGCAAGATATATATATTGCCCCAACAACCTCAGAAATTCAGGATATTGACATTGATGGGCCCCCACCTGAGCTTCTGTCTAATTCTGCTATATTGGACAGCCTCCAGGATATCCTACTATGGGTTTGTAGCAAAGAAAAGGGTACCTCGGACCATATTAGACAAATTGAGAGCTTAATCAGCGACTTTGGCAGGATTCAGATTGATGAGAAACGTCAGGTGACTTTGGATCAGATGATGGGATGGAAGACTAAATAGGTATTAGGGCTTAGAGTTAGCTTGTCAAATATTATGTCATCCTCTCACCAAAACACAACTCAATTATACCACGTAATTTGGCTTGGATAGTATGCTGTGGTATAAGCGAGAGTTGACTGTAGTGGGTAGAACCGTCGTCCATAGACCTCCTTGTGGGCTCTCAGGAGCGCTCGTATATACTACGACGGTGGTAGTTGATACTACGATTGTGGAATTTCCGGCAGGGCTCGTACGTGATGAGGGAGTGACTTGATCTTCTGAGAGCTTAGGTGGGTCGCTGGACGATGTTGGAGTTGACTGCGTGACCGCCGTATCGCCTGGAACGTTGGTCATTGTCCAACTGGTCACATAGCTGGTATCGTGAAATGTAACTGTGGTGTATTGAGTTGACGCGCTTGGATTTGAATTGGGAGCTTCATCCGGAGCAGATTCGCTCGGCAGACTGGGTGTGTTTGATGTCGATAGGTCCACTTGCGAGCTATCGATCACGCTCGTACCTATTGCCGTGGTCGTCGATACCGTGATCGTCGAACTTTGGTCGGAGCTCGCTGAAACAAATACTCCACTCCCTGTCATGGTAGGTGAGTCACTATTTGACGACGGAATTGACTGGCTGACTGGCGTCGTGTTTGAAAGTTCTGTACTCCTCCAACGAGTTATGTAGCTGGTATCATGGACCGTGACCGTGGTATATTGAACTGACACGCTCACATCCTGCGTGAAAAATTTACTTGACAAGGGAGTAGGAGCGCTGGGAGCGAGTGTGATAAAGCTCACTACCGTGGTCACCCTCCAGTCTGTTACGGTGGAGATATCACCGACAGGAGTCTCGGTAGAAGCGGGTATAGTGGTTGTGGTTGAGACGTCTATTGACGTTGACTGGACGTCGGTGCTAGTTTGCGACGCTGTGGCTTGTGGAGACGAGCTTGCCATGAGCGAGGTTGTCGTTTGGATCTCGTCGGTGCTAACGGTCGTGCTAAGGGCCGTTTCCGTACATGTACAGTCGGTTGTGTCCGTCGATGTCGTGGTCAGAGTGATAGTAATCATGCGTTTGGCCAGCTGGGATATAATCTCCTTTGTCGTCACCCCCACCCGCCCAGTCTGGCAGGAGGGCACTGTCTGGCTAGAAAGAGAGATGGAAACATCGGAGGCAACCAGTAAACAGAGACCTTGAATGCAAAGCAAGACGAGGGATAGGGTCGAACTCCGCATTCTGATTCTGTATGCGACTAGACAAGATTAAACAAAGGTGGGTAGAATGATACGGAGGAAGGGTGTCGAGTAAAAAGTCGTCGTGAGATAGACCTCCTTTATAATTGCTCAGTTCCATGGTGCGATACTAGCGCCAATAGGCAATTCGATCGGAATGGGTTTGGTTTTGAGTCATAAAAACCCCGGAGGTGATCCCATAGGGAGGGTTTTAGTACCCGTTTGGTCCACGATACTTTCATCCACAGATCATAAGACCCAGAGAGGTCGCCCTTAAGCCAAGTACACCACGGCAACCTCACTACAAAATGTGTGTTCTCTACTGGTGCCGCTGCATTTGTGCTTTGGCCCCTCTCACAGTTCATTATGTGCAGAACAGATGGGCAGCCCATCTGGATTCCTAAGTCATCAGTGATCGAAACACGAGCATAGATATCTGTAGGATGTATACGAAAATTAAGGGTTCTAGAACTAAAACAGGGATGATTCAAGTATTCCGTCGCACTACTAGCTGTGATGTTGTGGATTTGTCTTGAGATAGCGTGCCCAGGTCCGCCTGCCCTACAGCATGGAAGAAACGCTTCTTCCATTCTCTCTCCCTCTCGTCTAGCCAAATTTAATCTATTGCCATCCTTTGCTAGTCCTCTTCTCTCTAGACTTCGCGAAGAAAAACTCAGTGCAATTGCCACAATTTTACCAAGTGACGCCAAAATAAAGAGCAATTTCTCCCCACGGATAAAGTCAAATGTATCAATAGGCTCCACGGGGCTTAGTGAACCCCACAAAGTTCTAGATTTAGGAATTTAGAACTTGGCATCCTATTTTGCCTCATGGGTTGATCGGGACCAAGTAGGAGAAGGGCATAATCAAGCAGTTCGTTAAACGATTAACAAATATTTCTTTCGAACATCGATGCACTAGCCCAGTTTCTCGTCATAAGAATAATTCAGATGACAGTTGGTGGTAACACAGGTCGGAAATGGACAAAATCTCCACCCCCGCCGCCTACGTGGAGAATATTTGGGAGCGAAACAAAAACAAAACCAGAGGTAATGGACCGTAGTAGGTTGCGCTGTCAATACGGCTAGGGGCCTAGATATAGATTAGGCGTTTTCGGGATTAATTCCGAGAAAAGACCAAGGATTTCAAAGTGGTGGAACAGATTCTGAGTGTGCATACACAAACACAAATAGCCGAATTTTTTCATCCCCTCCTTAGCTTTTGATCAAATGCCCCCCTGCAAGGCCGCTTCAACGCGACAGTGCACCCCACTTCTCCATTGTGAGTATGTCCGATAACACTATGTATTGCATGCCGGGTTCCATAGGCTAATGTACATGTCATAGATAGATGAATCTGCTCAATCTTCCTAATGAGCTTCGCCTTTTGGTAGCAGAGAGTCTGGATAAATCAAGGGACAAATTTACGCTGGCTTGCCTCAATCGATCAACAAGAGATCTCCTCCTTCCGGCTCTGTACAGATTCAATCTGCGGCAGCAACGTAGCTCTGCCTTATTTTGGGGTGCTGGCAACAACCGACCAAAACTTGTGGAAAGATTGTTGCGCGAATATCAAGCGGACGCTAACACTACGGATAGGAAATCTCGCACACCCATCTTCTACGCCGTTCACAATGAGGACACCACCATGGCTGGCATGCTTCTTTCTGATTGGAGATCTGATATCAATTGGCAAGACAGGTACCTGCAGACGCCACTAGTATACGCCATAAGTCGAAATCTTCTGTCCATTGCAACATTTCTACTGAAGTTCAATCCAAAGGTGGATAGAAAAAATTACAAACAGCGTTCGGCGATCTGGTATGCTGTCAACCAACGAAATGAAGATCTGGTGCAGGTTCTTTTAAACATGGGCAGCGATGTAGTAACGCCCGATTACAGAGGAACATCACCGCTTCTCCTTGCTATTTCTAAGAGAAGCGTCAAAATCAGCCGAATGATATTACTGCATTCGGAGGGATCGGGAAAGCCTTTGCTGGAGAATGTGCACGATACACATGGTCTGCTTCGCCAAGCTGTAAAGTCAGGTCTTAAAGATATCATTTCCCTATTGATCGCTAGTGGTGCAGACTTAAATTCGAGGAATGACGATGGTCAGAGTGTGTTGCATCAGGCCACACGAAGAGGTGACAAGGCTATAGTCCAACAGTTACTCGCATTTGAAAATATCTCGGTCAATGTGGCTGATAGAAACACCCGCACTCCCCTCCACGTTGCAGCAGAACGAGGGCTTAGGTTCATAACCAGTCTGCTACTTGGACACAAGGATATAGATGTTAACGTAAAGGATATGGACGATCAGACCGCTTTCGACATCGCAGTAGGATGTGGCAATAGTTCAATCACGAGCCTTCTTTTAGCAGCTGGTACTGTGGATATCAACGCTCCAGATGTTCATGGAACAACAGCACTCTGTGTAGCTGCACAGGAAGGGAATACAGATATAGCATTGCAAATACTCGCAGAAGATCTTGTAGATGTGAACGCGGCAGGCCAAGAGGGAAGGACAGCTCTTCATCATGCGGTGAGGACCAATAACATGCTGATCACATGCGCACTCTTAAATAGAAAGCGGATAGATCCAAATGTTTGTGATGACTACGGATGGACGCCCCTTAGCGAGGCTGCTTCCAATGGTAATCTACCGATAGTTGAACTTTTTCTCGCCAGGCGGGACATACACGTGAACGTGCAGAGGGCCCCTCCGTTGTTCTATGCCGCTCAACGGGGTCATGTAGAGGTTGTTAGTCGATTACTGTCCCTTGACGATAGAATCGACATTGATCAACATGTCTCACACAAATCGGCTTTATGCATTGCCACCGAGAAGGACCATGCTGAAGTTGTAAGGCTTCTTCTCCTTCAGCAGAAACAGGGACCCGGTATCGACACCAAGGGAAACCCAGAAGACCCAGCGCTTTCATCCGCTGCCTAGAATAGATATTGCCATGAAGATGGAGATCTGTCTACATGTTACTGTTACCGTTCTGAGACCCTAGCTAGAACGCAGAGGTAAAAGGTGGTAGCAATGTGAAGAACACTATTGATGCGGCTGACAATGCTCCGTCATGTTGTTTCGTGCGTCCATAAGGATCGCTTAGGTTAGTCCAAAACCCTATAGCTTAGTTTTCACCGATCAGTCCGAGATTACAATATCTACTCTCAGTAAAGAATGTAGAAGTATTTCATACACAAACCTGGCGGCGGTAACTATGGTCTTTGAAGCATGAGACATCGTCTTCTACTCTATAACGATTTGCTTCCCCTATAATGGAGAGAGAGGAAAGACAGAAAACTTGTTATAGTATATCAAGCTATACTATGCTACAACGCAAAAGAGGCTGACTACAATAAGGTTTCCCGTTTGTTTATTGCTTTAGGAAACATATATAGTCATATACACTAAACATCTGTATTCCCCTGACGCAAAGTGCTACATATTATATTAAGTGGCGAATGCTTGAATCAAGCTTCATGTCTTCAACTCTTGTATAAAGGATTGTTTCTATTGAAGAGAGGAGTAACGGAGATAAACCGTGGATGAAAATCGTAATTTTGTTTCCGAAAGTTACGGATCATACTATGTTCTTGTTACAATACGGTTCGTGACTTTGTAACAATCAAAGTCAAATATAGATTAGACTGCGTGTTTCAGAGTAGAGTTCACCATGAAGTAAAGAGAGTAAAGAAGTGAATTTGGAGCGCATCTGTAAAATTATTCATACTGTTGCTGTCCGAATGAGCTTTGTTTTCTTTGTTTTATCAAGGACCAGACAAAGAAAAACGAAGAACTAAAATATAAATAAACACAAAAAAATAAAATAAGACCAAGAATAGAATAAAATAAATATAAAATAAAATAAAATAAACCCAAAAGAAAGGAAAACGGGACACTTATCACCTTGCACGCCGACTTTTCCATTCTCTTTCTACCTACATTTTGATCAGAAGCCATCCTGCCACTACCAAATTAGGAAAAGGCAATCAGAAAAAGCCTCCATTCTTTCACAACTTCTATCACCTTGCTTGTGTGTTACAAAAGATGATGCTATACAACGACTCCGATGAACAAGATAGTGCACTCTTTGCTTGCGCATTGCGTCTAAGTAGTCACGTGTGTCCTTTTATTTTGTCTATCAGGTATTGAGATTCCATAGACAGATGGCGACCCTGGGCTAATCTTTAGCTATTTACTATTTCCATGGACACTAAGATCAGACTGGTCGGGTTTCCGTAATTTCAGTCAGCTCTTAGCTGCCACGATGGCAACAGTGGTCTGTGGTGTTTTTTTCTTCTCAACCAAGCTGGCAGAAGGCCCCCAGTACCGAGAGCATCACCTCCGCGAATTCATGACGTTACTGAAGTAAGTCCTGGGCCATAGCATTTAGAATAGCTAACTAACAATTTTGGCCTAGTGGATGCTATGAAGCTAGTAAAATGGGCTTTTTCAACATGTCTATATTTCTTCTTTTAGCAGCGCAAGATTCTTTTCGACTTGCTTTGACAGGTTGGGGCTTGACCATCGCCGTCACAGTATTCTACATCACTATGCTTTACTTGGCCAGCGATGAATTGATGTGAGCTTAATGCACTGTAAAAACAAGCTAAGTAGAATATTGCATTTCTCAAACAGTTACGGAATATGTAAAATAAACAAAAACTCGCTAGAACTCCATAGGAGCCTAACAGTGCGTATCCAGAAATCAGATCAGCGTTGCCAAGTCGGTAATTGGTGGAACGTGTCTCAGGTCTAAGCGGACCAATACAGTCGGTAGGTGTAGTGAAAGAAAGGAAAACCTTCTACCCCATCGCCTACGGTACGATTTCCGGCGGTGAAACATGCACGAGTCCAAAAGTGTGTGGAGCACTAGCCATCACAAAGCTTACGAATAAAGGTAATTATGGGAAAGAAAACATAAGAGTCGAAATATACGGACCTTGGAGTAACCACCCTCCCGCGATTATGCAGGGTAACGACGGGAAACGGCAACGGAAGACCAAGTCTCGCCTTGTCCTATCACCAATATTACTGCCATTGTATACCTACCTTCTAGATCTCCCCGCCTTTCCTATAATCAATTATAGGTCATCGGGTGGAAAGCCCTCGCTCCGCGCGCTGAAGGGGCCTGTAAACCTTGACACAGACGAAAGGCAAGTAAACATCACAATGCTAGTGGATTGTACCAACCATTTCTGGACGGGTTCCACATGTCAATACTAGATATATCGTTTATTTAGATATACAGTATAACTGATTTCGAAAGCTACTGTACATCCTAATAATATTGTTGAGTCAGCAGTTTATGACCGGGCTTTAGAGCAAATCACTGAAATGCGAGAAGGAATGTCTCTTATGTTTTATACACGTAGTTAAGCAAAAACACGAATTAGTTGATTGTTGAAGAACTACTATCGTGGTATCGATAGTTAAGAATCACTGTACCTATATCGATTAGAGATCCGCGTCCTAGATCGCGCTAACGGGCGGCGCTCGGAGGACGAGATAATAAAAAGACTCATATAAGACATACTTAACATAGGGAATATGCCACTTACCGGTGTGCTTCCGGCATCTATGCGTCTCGCAAAGCCGACAGCCGAAGCGCGCTAAGTACTGATGTAGCCTTATTCTAATGCCGTTTGAAGACATGATCTCCGGTGGCTTTTGTGATGTGCCACTTTTGGACTGTCGCACGTAGTCAAACAAATTGTCTATTTAAGCGCCAACTCTCCTCTTTGGAACGATACGATTTTCAGTTTTTTTCGCAGCCAACAAAGACCTGTCGCAACCGAATAATCCCCTCTTATTTCATCACGTTATTCTCGCGTCGTTTGTAAACCGTCTATACAAGAAGCATCAGCTTATCCGCTAGCAAGAGATAATCCTACTGAATCGAATATTGGTACATACGCTAAAACCCCTCTCTTGTAAGTCACATACTCCTCGAGGAGCCATCAATATGGTCTACCGGGAGTCCATTGATATGGCTACCTGCTGACAAATATAAACAAGAATATATAGCATTTTTATGGCAGTCTTAGCTTTGTTCCTTGTGGAACCCGACGATTGCAGTGAAGACGAGGCCGAGAAGGTCCTGAAGGATGCGCGGAGTGGCATAAGGAAAGCCGTCGAGCAAAAGAACCTGCAAGTTAGATGGCTTGTCATGGGCTTCCCGTTGGGGATTGGCCCGATCTATTCCATGGAAGTTCTTTTCGATGGGCCACCCGAGTTGTTGGACGGGGTCCCTCGAGGCAAACCTGGAGTAACAGGAGACCCGGTTTGTTATCATTGGAAGTATGACAAGGTGGAAGCGGTGAGCAGATTTAGCAACCTCAATTATATTATGCAGATATAAAGGCCAGGTGCTCCGCCGGCCACCGAAAGCATGTATTTATCGGCTGGATTACGTATATAGTGTTCCAAAATTCCAAGATAGTACCTCTATCATATGTAATCACATATCCATCAAATTACATTGGAAACGTATGCATCTCGGCCTTATGCTTTACCTTAAAATAAATCTACCTTGTTGGTCAAAAATGTATAATACGGCGTCCTGATTTGGTTTTCAGCTTCGTGAAAAAGGACCAACATAAACAAATGATCGGCCGCCGGATAATAATTATTGCTACTTCCGCCGTCAGAGACTTTTTAATGCATAAAGAACTCGATTTGTTCTATCCAAGCCCGAAATCTTTCCTTTCCCTCCGTGTTCGTTTTGCTGTACCAATATCCTCGTACTTCATGATCTTGGCCTTGCTAACAAATTGTCAGCTTTGTATTTTGTCGAACATTTTTTCTGGGCGTTATGTAAGACGACGAAAGTAGAAACGAAAAAATAGGACGTAGGAAAACAAAATCCAAAAAGGGGAGAGGAAAAACAGGAAAGAAAATAAATGAACGAAAAATCCAAGGATAAGGTAAGACTTACACGAAAAAAGAAATGCAAACAAGGAGTGGTAAAAGAGAATGGAAATAGAAAATAGAAAAATATGGAAACGGCGGTGAAATATTTAAATATAGAGTAAAACCCGAATAGGGCCTAGAGCCGCGAAAGTCTCCACTATATCGCCTACGTTAGTAAGATGCAGTGTGCCTAACGAACTGATGCTGAACCTACTACTCTGATTCTCTTATAGAATTTCTGCCTCAAAAGGGACACCCCGCCCTGTCAATATGTTCGATTGATGTTATAAACTCAATGGCTCTTGTATTGATGAATTATAGTATACAAGACATCTTGTGGAAAGTGTAAGTGATTTATTGATTCACTCTCATTAGAAACAATATAGAAGGCGTGGGTGGACGGACTTTGGTCCGAGTTAAGGGAATGGTATCAAAAAATCTCTCGAGCCTTGAATAGTGGGCCATTTTTGGTAAGCAGAACTGGCGATGCGGGATGAACCGAACGCGAGGTTAAGGTGCCGGAATACACGCTCATCAGACACCACAAAAGGTGTTAAGTCATCTAGACAGCCCGACGGTGGCCATGGAAGTCGGAATCCGCTAAGGAGTAGTAAACTAAAGACAGAGTAAAAAGGAACTTGTAATTACCCAGAGGGACGTGCAGGTTAGCGCAAGGAAGCTCCACCAGTGTAAGATCAAGGGTCCTCTGGTCGACGCCGGAAGACGGGAAGAAGTTGACCCGGTGCATGATTTAGACGTGGACTTTGCATGGGGGATAGTAAATGCCTCAACGGGGTCGCCTAGAGGTTGTATGTCAATTAATATCCCTTGGCGATGGAAACGACATTGATCAACATGTCTCACACAAGTCAGCTTTGTATATTGCCGAAAAGGCCATGTTGAAGTTGGAAGGCTTTTGCTTCAACAGAAAGGGCAACATGGTATCAACACCGAAACGAATGCAGGAGACCCAGTGCTTTCATCGGCTGCCTAGAATAGATGTTTGCCATGAAGGTAAAGGTTTGGTTAAATGTTTCTGTTACTGGTAATGTAGGTAGAAGGCATTATACGTAGCAGCTCGAGGTACGAAGGAAGACATTGGGGCAAAAAGTGGTAACAATGTAAAGAACTCAATGGATGCAGCTGAGGAAGCTTCGCCCTACGTGCTTCCGTTCTACGTTCAGGATCGCTCGAATGAGTCCAAAGCGCTATAGGCTTGTTCTCACTGATCAAGTCAGCGATTTGCTTTGTTTATATCGACATAAATAGCTACTCTGATTAAACCGTCTAGAAGTGTTTTTCATATATTTTGCTGGAGGACAGTTCGGAAACGTGTAAATACAGTAGTGCAAGTTTAACCATGAAGGTTAGTCTGGTACCCTACCGTAGTAAGGGATCGGGCAGTACGAGGAGCTGTACCGCCTAAAGGCCAAGCCATGAGGATGGTTGGCATTTTGTTGATCTTTCAAGACTTGAAGGCTATGATAGTCCGAGGATGCGGCAGGGCAAAGCATCGTCAACAGTGATGCGGGTTCCACAAATTAATGCCCTTATCTCTCGGCTTATTCCTTGCAATACCGTGGTAGGAAAAATCTCTCTCTCCTCTCGTTTGTTCGTTTATCGCCATTTAGAATAGAAGAGATCAATCAGACTGCTGCGCCTCCTCATTCCTGAAGACGTCGTCGAGCCGTCACAGCTCTCATATTGGGACTAGTAATATTGATATCCTGTTGTTCATGGGGTTGACCGTATTGGAAGTAGGATTGGACTCCACAGCTAGACCTTTCACATCGGTGGGGTACTGCACTCTCTCCTGAGAGCTTCCAGGACTGCAAACATTCTGTCGTGTCAACGCGTGTGCGACTGTCGAGCGCCCCGTGTCGCAAGGGCTTTGTTTGGTAGTATGCTGTGTTTGGTTCACAGCAGTAAAGCCAGCAGACCCAATGGCACAACAGGAGGAACTTTCTCTACATAGAACTCCTCGATAAATTTGGTTAGCGAGTCAATATATTCCAGGTTGGTCATCGCTCCCAGGCTGACGCGTAGAATGCCAGTTGTCCGGCGATTTGAGACATCGTGGTCATCGCCGCAACGTAAACTGGCGGCATGATGGCGACGCAGCTCTTCGCCTGTCCACCCAAGAGACAAGGTCGTTCCTCTGGGGTTGTAATCCGAGCTACAGCGTAGTTGGATATTCCGTACGGCTGCCATTTCTTCTACCTCGGTCCTGGAGATCCATTAGCCACGACTGTTTCTCAAATTAAAAGCGACGATCGGGCCTTGGAAGAGTGGCTTGCTATAACTTGGTTGGTAAGTCTGACAGACCTTTATGTCATTAAAGTGTCTCAATACAGACAGCTGATCATAGAGTCGCTGAGCGAGAAACCCAGTATGTGCGGAACTATTAGACATTGACCCGTACAGACGCTTGTGCTAATGGCGGCATCTAGTGCGATGATGCTCTGAAAAGGAAGGGTATCGTTGTTTAGCCGCTCAGGGATCGAGGTGTCTTTCTTGGCATGCCATTGTGCTACGGATATATCGACATATTTACTGTACGCCTGCCAAAAAGCTTTCGTCTCTCAAGTAGGGAGCCAGAACATTTCCGGACAATCAAAGCCCCTAGATCCGGGAATCCAAAGATTTTGTGGAAGCTGAACGCCGTAAAATCCGGCGCGGTGTTTGGCGCGGTGTTTGCTTCACCAAAGTCAAGAGGAGCGGTTGATAGAAATGAGGAGGCATCAAGCAAAGTAGATACATTCCCTCCCTGACAGGCAACGGAACGGAGTTGCGCGCACCACCGAAGTGGGAGACGTCGACCATTCATGTTGGACTGGGCTGGAAAGGCAAACAACTTGGGAACTTAGACTGAGCTGTGCTAAGCTCAGTAATCCAAGCCTCGACATCAGCATCGTCAAAACATTGAGAGTTTATGTCCGCGAGCTCCCGCACACCAATCACACTGGTATGGGAGTCAACATGGCAGCCATACCAAAATCCGCCAGGGTCGGCATCACGAAACAAGTCTCCAATCAGCTTCATAGCTGCTGTCGCATTTGCCACAAAGACTAAATCAAATCCATTGGGGTTGGCATTAAAGAACTGGAGGACTTGGAGTCGCACGTCATCTGTCCGCCGTGTAGACCGCTGTGATGATACCAACATCGGATGGTGACTGGACATTATATCATCAGAGAATGACTGGATAAAAGACTTGGCAAAGAGCGTGGTTCCGGCGTGGCCAAGATAAGTCATTCCTGCAACCCATGGAAGAGGATAGTCAGCATAGACGAATCCAGTCATTTGAACGACTGGGCTATACCATTGAGAAGAAAATACTCTTGCTCATGAATGGCATCCGTATCGGCAAAGTAACCCTGACCATATTGGGGATGAACGAATTCCTCTAAATATTCTCCATCATACTCGATTTGGCGCATGGAATCGAAGAGTATATTATTCTTCCGCGATAATAGTGTGCTGTGCATGAGATTGAAAGTGCAGATAAAAAATTACTTTAATAGAAATGTATAATTGCCACAGAGATGGTGCGGTAGACATTTACAGCGGATATAGATAAAGGGAAAACAGTCGTTTGTGATCATGTTTACTAGGCTAGTTGGTAGGTTTACTGGCCGACAATGTTAGTCCCTATATAAGCAAGGTTGCGCGGTAGAACTCAAGGCCAATAAGGGTTCGAGGGAAGGACACATTTGGAATTAATTGTCTCCCACCCGCTCGCTGCAAGTATTCACCGTAGTTGCATCAACTACGAAGAACCCTATTTAATTCCTGGAGTGGACCCCATCGTGAATTCTCTTATTAACGGACCGTGTATTAACTGGGGTCTCGAGAATTATGATTGCGACCTCATCAATTTTGTGTGGGTGAATATTTACTCCCCCTTCCCTTTTAGTTTATTTTCATTTATTTTTTATTTATTATTTATTTAATCTTTTTTTTTCAAAAAGAAAGAAAAAGGAAAATCGACATTAGTGCTTAGATATGCACTTCGACTAAAGCAAACCAGGGTACCCAACGCTGAGAATGTTTCCGTAAGACTTATGAACATGTTATATCCCATGGTTTTGCTAGGAGAGATGATATCGGATTTTGCTCGTTTTCATAGAATGACCGCGAAGCGTGCGATGGCCGAGTAAAAACCGGCAACAGCTAACCTCTTTTGAAGCGAGGACAAGAAACGCACGGCACACATTCTAGTCGTGTATTTGGTGCACATTTTGGAGCGGCCGGTGCTGACCTACGGAAACAGTTGTAAGCCGGAACCGAAGAATGCCACTTCAAAAATTGACCTGTATGATTGGTCTGTTGATTTATAAGAAAACAATCACAGCTAAATGATTGCCACAGGATCATATTACGTGAATAATGGTTTGGTTAACCGCAGCCTATTATGACAAGCACCCGTTTTCGCAGGTCACGGCACTTCGCAAGAGTGTGAATACTTATCGCCGGGCGCGTTAGCGATAGGAGCAAGTATATACAGAGTCATTTAGGGCGAAGAAATCATAAGAGTCGAATATACGGAGGTTGATGCAATTACGGGAACAGCAACGAAGGCTAAGTCTCGCCTTATGCTATCACCAATTGTCATTGTACTCCGAATTTCTCGCTCTCACTGTCTTCTCCAGGACCAATCATATTTCATCGGCAGGAGTGTGACTCGCGCAGGTTTAAAAGGCCGAAGGTCCTTTCCATGATGGAAAGGCAGAGTAAACAATAAAAGCGCTAAGGAAATATTGTAATTCTCATCAGTTTTAAATGAACTTCACGTGCCAGCGCTAAGAGTATATCGTCGACCCAGATATCGACTAAGTTAGGCATGTTCGGATTAATTCGGACAGGACATCGAGGAACTGCATCCAGAATAGGATAATATTCTCATCTTTCTCCCAACGTTCGATTAAACTTCTCTGCAAGGCCAGCTGAACTTAAAGTTGCTGGCCAGTGTGAGTATAGTCAGTACTGTACCACTTTGTGCCATATGGTTGGTTGTGTGAGCTAATGTAGAATAGATAGATGCATCTGCTCGATCTTCCCAATGAACTTCTCTTACTGTTAGGAACACCGTGGGAGCTCAATAATCCAAAAGTGAACCAAACAGGCTACTATGAATGCGATTTTAGTGATTTTTCACAGTAACCCCTTAACTAGCAGTAGGCCATGTGTAGTATTCGTATACGTGACTGAGCAATGGGCGCTAGCAGTTTGGAACTCGAGCAGGAGTCTCACGAATTTTCCTTCCTTTCTGGCTTGAACGACACACCTAAGATCTAGAAGCCTCGGCGAGTTCAAGATATCCTCTTTGGTAGAACTAGACATGGGCCTATATTTTATCGGATCGTGTCGCCCGTGATAGAATACTACAGAGGACCCAGATTTATGGGTCAAATTTAATTTCACACATGACAGAATGACCGACCAATTTGGCAGGAATCGACTACATGTTATTATTAGCCGCCCCTAGCGACAAGGTAAGAGAATGACCCCAAAGGTTTGTGCCAGATTCTCTCCTAACTGGGTTGACAAAAAAATACTACCGGTGTTTGATCTTACTTTCTCTTCATTTGTCAGGCTTTATTGTCGGTACCGACAGAATTATAGCGAGAATTGCATCACGGAATACTGATTCGACTTCCTAGCTTTGACACTTGCATGCTGAGCCTCACCGTCTATCTCTGCAAGGAAGTCCAATTTTGAGCAGCACGTTTTAACAGCAAAACGCACATCCCTGACATATACATCCCCTGTCTTTAAAAAAGTCCGCAATGCCACCGGTGAATCCCAATCTTGCCGCAGCCAGAATTTCCTAAGCCCCAAATAGCTGCCTTACCTCATCAGGACACCGACGGTATACGGCAATAGGGCGACCCATCAAATCCTGCTTCCACGACCTCAACATTTATCGGAGCATGGCATGCGACCTTCGAGGCTACAGTATCATGGGATGGAGATCTCCTCGCACAATCGCAACGCTCTACGGTTTATTTATAACTCCACCCCACCGAATGAATGAAATACGCAGTGATTGATAGTAGATAATTGTACTTCTGAACATAAAAGGGGCAACACCAAAAGTAAACGAGATATATTGACTACATACAGCCCACTCAGACCAACTGGGTATCTGATCAGTACAGATGAACGTGCATGTCTGCATGGGGGCTACACGACTTGGTTGCCAAATTATCAAACGGCTGGTTATATACCGACGGACATGGTATTTCATTGGCACGACAAGAGATCGCAGGGCAAGTTGATATACTTGGCTCAACAATGACACTGATTCCGCCACCTCCGTCTCCGTTAATATAAGATAAATCATAGAACATCTGGTCTGTGAAGCAATAGAAAAAGCTGTCACATTCAGGTGGATATGGAGGACAGTAGCTCATTTCAAATTGAATGATGTTCCCGCTTCCCCTCTGTCGTGACAGTTTGTATGAGGCCGCAGTTCCATTGATCGTCGGCTGATATTGCCCTGACCATACTTGATTTGATGGAATAACAACATCGGCAAATGTATCTTTGGTTGTACCTACCATGTACACAGGAAAGCTGCAATGATTGTGAAGGAAAGTGCTCCCACGGTTGGAATTCTGACCATAATCGTAACAGGCTACTGACAAACTACTCGCCGAGGCAATAAGCGTAACGCCAACTGCAATCTTTAACAACAGGTTTATTATACCGTGGTGCATCACCGAAGTGTGTTATAGTCAGACCTGGAAATGTGACTCGCAAGCTGGCAATCAAATATACACTAGGGATGGCTTTCCTACATGGTCTATTTAGGGGAGCGTGGGAGAAAGGCCAGCAATTACTCTTACGTTCTTTCGTTATAAATAGTTTAGGTGCTATTTTATAACCAATCTGCGAGACTTGAAATACGGGTGGGGTGGACTGCTTCCCCGGAAAGCGACAGTCAACTTCAAAATGGTGGCTGATAATAATATTCTACCGTCTGCCACCGATTATGATAATATTCTACAGTCTACCATCAAGACACTGCATTCGCTCCCGCAACTCCGACTTGGTATTGAAAGAGTTTCTAGTACAGAAGTCACCACTCTGGCCAATATGCTAGCCGATGATAAAAGTCTTATCCAAAGGAGGCTTGAGGTAGATTTCGGGTTCTATAGAGGATTCTTGATATTTGTGGGGCAGCTATTGGCTATCGTTAAAGAGTACTCCGATGCGGACATAACCAGTACCGGCTTCCATCCCGAAAATCGGAAGATGATCGAAAATTGCTACCGCCCATTCAGCCCGACGGGTGAGGTGCCTTGTGAATTCATAAAGAAAGATATCCAGGATGCATCAGCGGACTACAGGATGATTATTCTCCAGCAGCTACAGTTAGGGCAAATAGCTGACAAGAATGGATGTTAATTTCTGCAACCACTCCCACATTGGTCCGGTAACCCTTTCCCCCACAGGGCGGTCCATGATATTCTAAAGCCGTTATTCGTAATCACGGTATAGTACGACGTATGCAGGCCTAAAACTGTGCAAACAAATTTGTTCAAATAACATTCTTTTAATATCTTGGGGAAACCAGGAAACAACAACTATCTTAGTATGGGCAATCAGTCTCAAAATAAGATAGGAATTGACACGAGAAACACTGAGGTTTTCCTACAAACCAGTCAAGGGTAAAGATTCAATGAAAAGGGAAGGCAGGATAGCAATTTTTGCAGGGTGCCAATAAAAGATAGGGCTGGTAATCGAAAAAGTTTATTAATTGCAAGTGTGGCGTGGCGTGCAAACGCGCCTCAATCGCAGTGCAGACGGCGGTGTACAGGATAAAGCCATTCGGACCTTCACCATGTTGCAGTTATTTTAACAACAGAGTCTGAAAATGTTTCATGATAGTCCTGCAGAGCTCGTTCAAGACAAATACGGTCAACAAGACCACTACAGTACATGCAAACAACCCCCACACCACATGTGGATATCCATGTAGTTACAATGGCTGGGAAGCCCGGGAAGCCCAGCAACATGCATCCTTCCTCACTTCCACTTGCACTGGAACTAAACCCACGGCCCCAATGCAACAATGAACCGCACCACTACGATGGCCATTTCAAAATGCTTCTCCAGTATGCCGCAGCTGTCAATGCCGTTTTAGACTTCGTTGGAGGCGTCACAGATGTTTCGCTAAGCCATGGGCATAGTTAGCTACGCACGGGCAACAACTGGCCGCCAAGACCTTTGGCCTCCGTGACAATGATCATTGCGGTTCCTGGGCAGATTCCCGTAACAGCTTCCTAGTGTAGGTA